CAGCAGATCCGCTTACGAAGGGACTGAGTAGGGTTAAGCATTTGCAGCATGCTAGGAGTATTGGGCTGAAGGATGATATTAGCGTAGATTAGATAGTATTAGAAACGTGTAATAGATAAATGTAATTAACATTTGATGATTAAATAAAGGAGTTTTATTTATAAGTAATGTTACTATCTTATGTTAATTGTTTAACTATTGTTTCACTTTGCATGTTTTGACTTCCAGAATAATTGAGTTTATTAAGAATAATCGAATTGTTCAAATAGTCCACAATCGTTCATATGTCGGAAGTAGATATGAATGAAGATTGTCATGAATAGGTGTGTAGAGTGTCTAAATGGTGTTAGACATAGCAAAGGATTGCTGCAACGTTCATGAGTGCTTATGAACTAGGTTTGAGCATTGGAACAAACCCGCGCTTGCTGGAATCACCTTGTGGAATGTGATAGTAAATGGGTGATCGCAAGATGATAATATCATATAGTCTTAAAACCTAGATATATGGTTTGTTATTTGCTAATTGATTGTACATTGATAACGCGAAAATGCATTGGTAACTCGATGTTATAAAACACATTGTTGTGTATAGTTGGTTAATGAATAAGTAAATGCATATAAGTCGAAGTTTATCTGTAACTTTTATCCTTTGAAGGAAAAAGTGATATCTCGGCCGCTCGATGATTTGATTTGACTTATGTGTCGGGCCCGGTCAGAACTGAATTGATGTGTTCGATTAAGTTCTATGTCAAATAAATCGGAAATCGAGAAACCAAATGCTAGACTAACTATTCCATAGTATTGTCAGCATGATATCTAACAGAGGACTGTACGATCCCTTATCTGAAGGACAAGATTGATTAGATCAGAGTTTGACAGCGTCTTTGAGAGCTACGATTGCAAATCGGAGTGTACCTGCGCATATAGTTACTAGACTTATCCAAGTGGGAGACTGTTGGAATAGTGTCTAAGGCTGCAACTATATTAGGCAAGTATTTGACCCGATTGTGCATGGTCCTTTTGGGTTGCCTTCACCATAGCAACTTGGTAGGATGATTTATTATGAGAGAATAGATATTATTAATATATTATGAGAATAATATAAAGAATAATAATATATTTATTTGATTAATATAAATCATAGATTAATTAGTATTAATTTGGTGACTTAAGGAGATTAATTAAATAAGAGGGTATAAACTGTCAATTGCTTGATAGTTAAATTTTAGACTGTAAATCCTTATTGGATAAAGGGTTGGACGATTTCTAGGCTAGGATAAGCCTAAATTCGTCCAAGGCATTATCTTGGAAGGATTTGGATTGCTTTGAGTAATAGTTATCCAACTAGGGTTTGAGTTGTAACCCTTAAGGAGTCTACAAGTATAAATAGACCCTATGGGAAAGGGAATTCAGTACCTCCTCTAAAGTAAGGATACCCTGGCCGAATTCCTCCTCTCGCCTCTCTCTCAAATCATCCTCTTTGCTAGTTGGTGTTTCTAAGCCATTAGAGGAGTGACAATTGTGACTCTAAAGCTCCAAGAACAAGAAGATCAAACAAGTGTCTCAAGGTATGATTCTATCTCTGATTTTGTGTTGTTCTTATACCTAATTAGCCATTAGTAGTCTTGGATTCAAAGCATGTTTAATTAGAGAAACCTAGATCCGAGCATTAGGGTTTGTATGCGCACTTAGGAATGTTCTTATGTACAAAACCCATCACAAGTGTGGGTTACTCCAGTACTCAAAATATTCGTTCCATGTACTCACGAGCATTGGTCGCAATCTTTATGACATGTTCATCTCCATGAACAATCTACCATTAATACACCATGACAATATTAAATTACTACTTACTTCCAAGAGTATGACTGATTGTGGAAGTTTGAATAAATTAATACTATGGAAGTGGTTGAAAACATGCAAAGGAAACACAAAAATATATTAATGTAAATGATAGCTTCAAATTATTATGAAGTCTCCACAAAATAATCACCAAGTCAAATAAAATACAAACTGTATCAGTTCCAAAATATAAAAATATAAACTAAGTAATCAAACCAACTCACTAGCAAATCTAATGCCTATAAATCTAGTATGACCATCATTCTTGATCTGTGATAATGGTTTGGTGAACGAATCGGTTGGGTTTTCTTCAGATGATACAAGACTCACTATGATGTCTTCATCTTTGACAAACTTTCGGATGTAATGGAACTTTATGAGTATATGTCTTGTGCATTTGTTTTCATAGGGTTCCTTAATCAATGCGGTTGCACCCTCATTGTCACAAAAGATCACAACGGGATCAACTATTGTAACAGTTGTGAATTTTTCGTCATTGATTGTTACTAGGAGTTAGGATTGACTCATAATAACAAAAACTTTCCATATTGAAGGATAATATGAAAAGTGGAGTCAAAAATAAAGTAATTAAAAAGTAAAATGGTTCATGTATTTGGAAAATACGCAACCTAATGATCCCAAAAATATAAACGTCGAGAAAATCTAACTTTGATTGACAGAGTTATGATTTTTTGATGAATAGAAACCAACCATGTTAATAATGATATTGACGTCAAAAAGAGAAAAAAAGAGAACAGTTAAGTTTCAGCTAACACTACAATAAGGAAATTTGTAGTAAAGCATGAGATAAGAACTTAAGAAGGAAGAAGGGAAAAAACTGGAAGTCATATGAAGGAGATATGATTTTTATAAAATATAAAAATGTGGGTTAAAAATGAAAGTTACAATTAGAAGATGCAACCTAAAGGAAAGTTGTAGTTCTAGGAAAGAGCTAAACAAATATATAAAGAGGGTAAGAAACAAAGTTCATATGAAGAAAGTATTAAATTTTAAAAAAGATTTAAGGGTGTACTGTGCATGTCATGCCCGTAGCGCACATCTTAGCACCAGATTCGTCGGAGATTTGGAAACGTGGACCACCAAAATGGTGACACGTGGCAAGATATGGATGGGCCACAAAACAAGTGCATGTTGTGCATGAGAGTGTCCAACACGCACCATCACTATAAATAAAGGTGCTTGCCTCCTGGTTTTTCATCTTAGACCAACCTCCAAACTCTCTCTTTATACTTCAGTACTCTCTCGATGGCAAGAAACTCCGATTACAACGGTTCGTGCACTTCTCGAGATGTTATTAGAGTGAGTTCATGATCCCTATTTTACTGTTTTAAAATGTTTTCAAGGTGGTGGAATACATGCTTAACAAATGATTTTATAAAAATATTTATTTTATAAATGTTAAGTCATTTTATAATAAGTTAGATGACTTAGGATAATATAACTGTAGATACTATACATAGATTTAAGCTACGATCTGTGTCTAAAGGATATAATGCCCTATAATCTAGGCGTAGGTATTACCTAGATGTTACAATGACTAAATCCCTAGGAAATCATAGTACCTAAGAGTTATACTTGACAAGATTTAGGACATGTATTGTACATAATTATTACGCTTGCAAAATATCCTATTAAAATAATCACAATTAAGGTGTGTGTGTGTATATATATATATATATATATATATATATATGTATATATATATATATGTATATATCATTTGATGATATATACCCAAGAGAGGTATATACAAAGATAATGTGATGTGTGTGTGTGTGTCTGTATATATATATATATATATATATATATATATATATATATATATATATATATATATATATATATATATGGGTAATTATAATAAAGATAAAAGATTAAAATATAAAATATAAAAGCCTAGGGTTAATGCGTTAGTGAGTTGGTTATTCATCCAAAAGCATTGATTACATTCAACATATCCTCAATACCTATAATCGTTAATCTTGCAAGAGCTAGGAAGTTATGTATAGATCTATATGGGGACATGACAACCCCACCTGCGATTGCTAGCTACAATCCTGACATGATACCTTCTATATAATTTGCTATTCGATGTCCGATGAAGCGTCATGATTAGGGGTACATATATAATCGTAGTGTCGATTATAGGGGCTCACGTTAATACATAAAAAATTGCTTAGAGTTTAGATTATCATTAGGGACGCTTGGTATGGTAATTAAAATACGTAAGGATCGTTAGAAATCCTTAAAAGACAGTAAATTAGGGTTAAAAAAAAGATAATCCTAATTAAAATACGTTAGGATCATTAGATATCCTGAAAAGATAGTAATTTAAGATTTATAAAAGATACCCTAAAAAGATAGAAGGCCAAATAAATAAATAAGAAATGTTTTCACAAAAGAAAAATATTCTTAAAAGAAATTCAAAATAAAAACCCGTGCACTCACCAACATTATGTTGACTTTCAAAATGCATGTATTCTCAGGTTAATAGGATTGTCGCTCTTTATACCGTCACACTGCTCGGTGTTTCCGCCAAAGGCTAGACAGGGGGTGTGACAAAGATGGTATCAGAGCACAAGTTTAGCTATAGCAAATTAGTATTTCCCTAGGAATAGTGACTAAAGTATTTCTTCAGGAATTACGACTATAGCTTAGGTCAAATACTCCGATTGGGTTTGTCCTCAAACCTGTAAACTATTAATTTTATACCATAAAAATTTCCCACTGATAGATTATGTATTGGAAATGTGACTAGACTGGAACTATCGCATTGGGTTGCTGGATTTCAGAACAACTATATGCCAAAATGGTCCTGCCTACCAACTTTCCTACCTGGCCGATCCATACATAGTTTAGAAGTATATAACAATTAATAAACTGCCAATCAAAAATAAACATATTCGAAAACGCAACACATAAAGAAGTATCCAGGAAATTCAGTGTGTAAAAGTTTTGTCACTCCTAAGCATAGCCTGATCAACTATGTTTAGTCTTGAGTGAACCAATACAACATTTGAATTAGGATAGACAAATGAAACATAAAAACCATAAATATATAAATACAATCCCAAACCAAATAAATATATGTCAAAATACATCATAAAGTATTAAAATACAAAATAAAACCCACAAATCTACTCCTCACTACCCTCCGACTTGGTCTTGGTCTCCTTGTTGTCGTCATCGTCGTCGTCATCATCGGTGTCTCCAGGATGCGTGCTTGAAGGACCGACACCATCGTAACCATTGTTGCGTGACTGAGAAGGGGGTGGTACAACGGGATCCGCACTAGGAAATGGCGGATGATCCATCCCCAGATGTCGCATCATCGCGACAAGCGAAACCATCAGGCAATGATGCTCATCCTGTACATTGGTAAGACCCCGCATTACATCTCCAAGAGTAGGCTCCGGACGATCAGGCTTCACGTGCCTAGGTATCTAAAGCTTCACAAAGGCAGGATCAGGATTGACTTTCGGCTCCACCTGCCGAATCAGCTCGACAATGTCATCCCCCGGTACCCACCATGGCTGGCCCGCATCCCTAGTTAAACCCGCATCTTCCCAAGGGCTGTAATACCCAACTCCTGGATAGATATAAGGACCATCCCACTAGTATCTACCCCAAAAGATAGGGCTAACCTAGTAACCAAGTGACCCCCACAAATCCTGCTCGAGGATGTGGTACCTAGAGCCATACCAGGTAAAGAGCAAGGGCGAATACATGACCACCTACAATCGATTGTAAGAGGAAATATAGAAGAGGGAATACTAAATGTAAACAATAATCACTGCCTATGGGGTTGGGTTTGGGAGAAAGAAGAGTGATGGTGATGGAGGTGGTTCAACAATGGATTGATGGTGGAAACAAGAGAGTTACAGGGGGTGTTTTTTTCGAGTTGCAAGTGTGTGTGTTTTTTTCGAGTTGAGGTATGTGTATGTATATGTGAAGTGTTTGTTTAAGTTTCAATGTGTTTCAACAAGGAAGAAGACGAAGTGTGTGTATGTGTGTGTGTGAGAGAGAGAGAGAGAGAGTACGGTGGGGTGGTCGGTGGCTATATTATTATTTTTTTTTAAAAATCAAAATTACATTAAAATAATTATAGAAAAAGGAAAAAAAATAAAATAAAAGGCATAATCATATTTTCAAGTTGTTGAGGAACCAAAAACACAAAAAAAACCTTATTTTTGAACCTTCTATTAAAATAGAAAAATATTTGAATTCCATCCAAAATTTTTTGAATACCACAAGAATAAATCTTAGGGTTTGTCAAATGGTTTTTATATAAGTTGGTAACTTATAAATAGTTGAATATATATATATATATATATATATATATATATATATATATATATATATATATATATATATATATATATATATATATGGCCCATCATTTTAATTGAAAGTGCTTTATAATTTTTTTTTTTAATTAACGAGCTTCCATGAGTTTTTTTTTTTAGTAAAAAGCTCTTATTTCCATAGCTTTTTTATATTGTTTCAGTAAAGTTTTCTCTTGAGTTGTTTCACTAAGATAGGTTGTTAGAAATATGGTTTAGTGGTACTTGGAAATCTGAGAATCGTGATAATCACTTTCAAATTGAAGTATTTGGGTGGTACTCCCAAATCCTTAATTGGATAAGACTCAGATAAAATCAGAAAGAAAAGAAAAAGATGGTGAGATGGTGTAATTTCGTGAGTACCAGAAAAGTGACTAAAATTTGTTATAAACCTTCCTTATCTGAAAAACTATCAAAACTGTCATATAACAGTTTTTTCTCAACAGTAAAAACTGTCATAAAAATTAATTCAAAGTCAAAACCGGATCAAATATTCAAAATTTGGATTTTCTGATGCATTTTTAATACAATAATTTGGCTCTGCCCCTTAGACCCCGCCAGGGGCTGCCGCCCCTTAGACCCCGCTCTCAGGGGCACTGCCCCCGGACCCCCGTTCGTTCAGGGGTTTCGCCTCTAAATGACAATATACTTTAATACTTGATCAAATTTAAACAAATGTATATTCCACACATTCTTTACTTGTTTAATATTTATCAAGATCATTAGTAATTCTTATTACACTTAAATAACACCGATGATAACAAATCACCAAGATAAGTGTTTGATCTTTCAAGCGATAAGAAATAAACGATGATAAAACCAAAACAATAACAAAATAGACAAAGTTTTTTATTATGAAAAATATATATAAAATGAAAATTCTTTTTAAAATTTTTGACGAAAAATAACTCGGTATTATGGATGTTTTTACTGTACTGTCAATAGCCCGAGGTATTTTTGTCATTATCTAAAATTCCAAATTATACAACGTAAAATTAAAAAAAAAAAAAAATACATGACCACGAAAGCACATAGATGAAACTTAATTTATAAAAAACACGTGGTAAATGGCAGAGAGGATATTAAAAAGAAAGAAAAAATATTATATTATTATTATAAAGGAGGAATCATTATGATTGCTGTTGCTTTTGTACTGTGGTGGCTGTCTATTACTCTATTGCATTTAATGAAACTTCCTTAGACGGTCAACTGCGATCCCAACCGCGTATACGCTATAACGCTTAATTAAACCGGAAGTTCTAAATATCGCTTTCAATCCTCTATCTATCGCGTAGTTATATTTTAACCCCGGATGTATACCATATGACACCATTTCAATCCCCTCCTAGTATTTTACAAATAAATAGTATATGTCCATGTTTAAAAGGTACATGTTTGATGATTCCACATATATGTCCATGTTTGACAACAAGATTTTAACAATAGATAGTATATGTCCATGTTTAAAAGGTAGATGTTTGTTGATTCCTCCACATATATGTTTGACAATAAGATATTAAGAATTTTTAAGAGTTTTATTTTTCAAAAAAAAAAAAAAACTCGAATAAAAAAAATTATTCATGAATACGAGATTAAAGCGTATATTTTAAATAAAAATAAAAATTTTAAGGTATTTCAACTCATTTATCTTCCACCACACCAACATACGAGGTTCATTGTACTCCCATGAAAGTTTTTTTGTCACATAACTTCACACATACTTAAAAACACAATGATTAGTACTCAACTCGACATATTTTTTAGCTTACTTATTTTCTATTGAAATAAGAGAAGTGGGTCTAAAAATAGAGTTAATTGCCCCATATGATCTATGATAATATATGAGTTTTTTTTATTTAACTTTGGTTTTTTTTACGAAATACTGATGAATTTTTTATACTTGTTTTTTATAGATTACGAAACTGTTTTTGTTTTCCATGGACATATATAACATTAAGTAGGCGAGACAAAATACTACAAAGATGACAAAATTTATAAATTGATTTCACACACGTAAAAAAATATAATTAGATAATGATTTCATATTGGAATCTAAAATAAAAATAAAACTAATAACTAAAGATAGACAATTCAAATTGTACCTCAGTATATGCATCATTAATCCGTTATGATAAAAATAACAATCAAGTAACTTTAATAAAACTGAAACAAATGAAAAAGAAATTTATATAACAATAGAATTACAAAACAAAAAACATACTTAATTGTTGATTTATAAAAAAAAAACTCGAAAGTATACAGATTGAGACATGTTTGATGAAGTGTCTTGAGGATTTGAAATTTTATTCAATGTTGGATCTTGAATCTAACAAATCTTTTTATGCTACATTCATGTTTGTAATACATGAAAATTTTCAGGAATTTTGTGATACGTATGTGTCCTCTACAACCATAGATTATATGTCAATTGATACGTATGTGTCCTCTACAACCATAAATTTTCAGGAATTTTCAGGATCTTGAATCTAACAAATCTTTTTATGCTACATTTATATGTTTTTTTAGTTTATAGTTTTTAACTATAGATAACCAAATTTAAACTACCAAAACTACATGTCAATTGATTTTTCTAAATTAATTAATTATTAAAGGTTAATTTGTAATTAATGTATTAAAAAATATTATTATTAGTTAAGAAGAGTTGTCTCAAGGCCCAAGATCCTATCTTTGATAATCTTCCCTAATAAATGAAAATAATTTTACCACACGTCACTCTCTTATTAACTTGGACACATGTAGTTTTTTGGTATTTTTGAATAAATGTTTTTTCCATGTGTCATTTTCTCATTATTTATCTTTTTTTAATTAACACATTATATTTATACCTCAATTATTAATTGTCTTATTTGAAAATAACCATTAAATTACAATATTACAACTCATATACTATTGAATATGTTTCATTTTAGATTCAAATTCTAAATTTTAAATTTCAAATTTAAATAAATTTTTGTTTAAACCTTCATATTTAATTTTTTTATTTTATCCAACCCGTATAACATATAGGTATCACAACTAGTTAATATTAATTAACCCGAACCGAAATCCATGCTAAACTGTTTTTGTATCTAACTTGATCTATTTTGATAAAGTTGATAGACAAAAAGTTATAAAGCTTTAAAAAATTTTCTTTCCTTCCTATGTGATATAAGTTTGAAAGTTTAAACAAGATGCCAACATAATCTTTTTCTATTTTGGCGTCAACTATATTGATTGAGCCAAGAAATCTTTAGTAAGTGACCATTTCTTTTAAGATAACAATAACGATTCCTTAAATGTATGTATGTCTAACTTGGTTAAAGTTACAAATAAATATGTTGAAATGTTTGATTATTGAGTTGTTTTTTCAATAATACCATCTGCGGTAAATATAGTTTTAATGCCACATATAAAATGCAATTTAGTTAATGTCTTATTTTAACTACTCATTCACACATACCTTAAATACCATTCCTAAGAGTACATATTGGTTTCAAATAGAACTTGAACCCTAAACATATTAACCTATTATCCGAGAGACATATTTCCAACACTTTTGATATCAGTAAGCTACAAGACCTTCTTTAATACTATCTAAATCATATATTCTTGATAGATGACAATACAATCGTCAATAAATTGATCGCTTATTCTTATTGTGTAAATTGTTTTTTATAAACTTCGCCGTTGAAATTGAACGCGCACCACTAAGAAAGTAGCAATGAGCAAAGCCAATGTTAACTTTATTACAATATATACAACTTGATATATTATATACCTGTCTGTTTCAACCATCATATTCTCCAATAATTTAAATTCTCCAAGTTATCAAATTGTGAATCTCGACATATATCAATAATATATTTTAAAAGTTTGCTCTATATGCTCTAAGATCATGTTTTATAAACTCGTTAATCTTCTCCATTTCAAATAATTGAAAAGACTTACTTAAACATAAAGGTCATAAAAACAAGTAAGTTGTCTTTACTTCGTTAAAACGATTGTTGACCTCTTAGAATTCATAGTTATGGCTGAACTCAACTTGTCCCTATCATGGGGTTGGGGTCATCCTTGCCCCTATCTCAAATCAACTTGATGATTCTTTAGTTAAATATGATTAGGAGTATCATGACATGATATTTTTTTTGTCATCTGTAATTCTATAATCCGCTATAATAATTAAAAATATTTTACACTGATTATTATGATTATTATCTAAAGAAGGATAAAACAATAAAAAAATATTTTATACTGATTATTATCTAAAGAAGGCTATAACAATTAAAAAAATTTATACTATTATTATCTAAAGAAGCATTTTAATTAATTTATTTATTTTTATCAATTGTTTATGGCT